CGGACGACGAAGTGCTGGCGACGTTCGATAAAACGAAGCTGTTCGTTCCACTAAACTGCACCGAGCAGATTGGGCAGCAATACCCAAATTATTTAAGCTCGCTTGCTGCCCTTGTGATGGATATGACTCTGTAAAGAAAGCTTGAAAAGTAGTCATGAGTAGTTTTACAGGGGAAAAAATCGTGGTACTTCACTGTTAAAGAGCTTTACGGTAAGAAATGATTCCAACGTCTTTCTTAACCATGTTGCCCAAGTTATTTTTCACGCGGAGGTAGAGCAAAATTGTTGTTGCTACCGATCATTAAGCTCAAACACAAGTCAAGCCTTCGCCCTGGCTGCCAACTTCTTTACCAACTCCACAGTCATTTTGTCGCGCAACTTGGCGTAGTATGCTTGCCTTTGTGTCGGTGAAAGAAGCTTGTTTACCGTCTTCGGATCAATCCGTAGCTTCAGCAGGGCCTTGATCTTTGCATTTGAAAAGGACTCCTTAATCGTCGCACTGGAAAAGAAGCCTCTCTCCTCGTCTCGCCCGGACGTGTTTACAGCTCCCCGGGGTTTGTTTGTGCTGTCGCCGGCATTCAGGAGCGAGCGGACCGAGGAAGTTGTGTCCGGTGTGGTTATGGTTGCTAATTTGATTTGAGCGTTTGCCGCGGTAGTCGGCATTCCATGACCTCCGGCTATGAACGTGATCACCGCGACAAGGAAGACGTACGCATGGTTAGCTTCCGTTTCCTCCGATAAGTGAGTGTCGGAAGGCAAATACACAAGTGGACATAGTCGTAAAAGGCAATTACGAAGTATTATATACAACTGCACCCTCAATGCACTCTGCCACTTGCCGCGTAATATAGTTTTGTGAACTGTATCGAACACAATATCGATTTGCACTTCGACACAAGCTGTTTGCTCCAATATATTCCGCTACTTGCCGCGTAATACACAGTCCCCCCTTGGCAGGCGACATTTTCGCCAAGATGTGAGTATAACGGAAAATTGTTGATTAGTAAAACCGAACACTACCGGTATTGAATTCAATACGTATACGAGGTACAACTTTCACCGGTTAATGAATCCAGTATACCGATTAACCAGGCTCAGAACATTCTCTGGATATTTATATCCAGATTT